TATCTTGTTATTCACTTAGACATTTACCATCAATCTCTGACCATGCCGTTTTTGAAAACAAACAAATAAAAGCCCTCTATCATTTCATTGAAAGAAGTAAGAATCTGTCCTCTGTTTTGATGCTCAGCTTTATTTTCCATCCCCAAATTTTAAAATATAATCATTACTCCCTTGTTTGCACAGACCCAGAACACTGGGCTTGACTTCTGAGAAAAAAAGCTGTGTTAATGAACAGGTATAAATAATTCGAACTCGCGGTGGGTCGTATGCCAGGCAGGGCGAAAGAGAATACTGTTGCTAATGAGTAGGTCAGTGGAGAATACACTTCATGAAATGCACTGCCCTGCACTGCTCACAGAGTAGACACACGTCTGCCAAGTATCGGATGTCCTTCTGTAATGGACACAATTTGTGTGATGGCATCTGCACTTACAACCTAGAACCTTCGGGTTCCTAATAATGGTAACAAGTGGTAAAATTAATCCAGGGACCAGTCCATTTTATTTGATCACTTTATCTTCATGGTATGGTAGAAAACTATGAAATAGCAAACTTAAAGAGAATACTAACAAAAGTTAACAATACAAAGAAAATAAATCAAACATCTATAGTCATAATTTGGAATAATTGAAGCTATCAGCTTCCTCAGCTTATCAATTTGTATTTCCCAATACTTTATGATAACATAGCAACTGAGTATTGGCGATTTTGTTTGATTTTCTATCTCCAGATAAGTTATGTCGTCTGTGTGTAAGAATGGCATCTTATATACTGTGCTAGTTGCTTTTCCACAGAACTACATTTATTTTACAGATTATTACTACACTTATGCTGTATCCATTAGGGGTCTCTCAGCGAGTGAGTAGGTATGTTCTTGAATTTACTAATGAGGGAATCTCTTTATGTAGCTAGCGTCCACCCACAAACAAAGGGAAGCACAAAGGAAGCAACAAAATCCAAACACTAAACAATGTTAACGTCATTTAATGATATCAATTCACCTTTAGTACTGTGAATAACATGTAAGGACAGTATAAAATTCTCAGAGAAATGCGGCTTAAGGCATTAACCACAATTCAGTAGGCCTGACCCTCCCATTTAACACCCTTTAGCAGATGTCTGTATGTTTAAACTTGCAGCACCAGAGGACAGTTAGCCACTCAATGATTGGTTGTCTTTCTTTCATAAGCCTTTCACTTGGATGGCTGGAGTTCCATGAATTAACAACCAGTCTCATAAAGGCACAGACTCTGTTTCTGAAATGAGAACAGCACACGCTCACACAGACATACAAACACATACATGCACACACATACATACACACATACATGCACACACATACATACACACATACATGCACACATACATACACACAACACACACATTCATACACACATATACACAAGCACACACACACACACACACACACACACACGCACACTCCACCAAACAGAATAGTCTATAAACTCTCTTGTAATTTGAAGAAGGTAACCCTGGAACAGCTCACAAATGGATGGTGGATTATATCGTTGCTATAGCAAACTGATTATTTAGTGTTCTAAAGCAGCGACCTCCTTTTCTGCGCTGCAGAGAAGTCATTATTTCAACCACATTTAACTTTTCACGGGGTCTAATAATACCCTGCACATTTCACACAGTGCCCGGAGCACTCATGGATTTTGTATGCCTCTCTAAAAAAGCACTCGGTTGCAAAGACTGAGCAGTGGCCTATGGGCTGGAATTCATCAGTTCTTTATTTTAACAGTTTGAATTCCCCATTAATGATTTTGCACATTAGCAGCTAATCAAACAGTTTAGATAAGGCTGAGAAGAAACGCCTTTCCATATTCACACACATACAAAGGGCTAGAGTAAGTAGAAAATAAACTTTCATACCATCAATCAAAATTAAGGGAATGCAAAATAAGTAATAAAATGAAGAAAGAAGTGATGTGTTGTTGTAATTATATAAATTAAGGGACTGGGAAAGGAACCATAGGTTTTCAATTGGACAAATAAGTAAAAAAAATGTGCCTTTATTGTTAGGGGAACAGCTTATAAAGCCCCCTCTAAGTGGGGTATGTTTTACATATTACATCAAAAACACCCTGACCGCATACATAGTTTGGAAAATTCCTGTGGTAAGAAAAAGAACAAGACTAAGAAACCAGTGGTGCTGTCTGGTGTTCTGACAGGCCTGAACCTGGAGACTCCAGGAAGCAGTGAAGAGAATATAGAACCAGATATCAAGAGACTTGGTCCTTAGACTGTGTTCTGTCCATGCGATCACTGGGCACAAGTGATGTTACAGAATCCATGCTGTGATTAAGCAATATGAGGCAATTAAAAAAAACCACTCTGTTCCAGACAAAGTGCTGATACAAGGGCAGTTCAGGTGTCTTGACGCATGTCTCACAGCTACGAAGCAGTTACCAAGAGGAAGTCATGCCACCTGTGTCTATCAACGTGGCATTCTCTTGTAGGAGTTCACTTCATTAGACTGGAGAACTTCCATGATTCAGATTTACTGCGCAGAAGGACAGGGAGGGGAGAATGGTGAAGGGATGAAGGCGAATCACGAGGACTGGAAGAGGATTGCTTGTGCAATTCGGGCGATTGCAATGTGGCGGGAATAAGACACACATATAAACACAAACAGATACACAAACACAGTCATGCACAAACATACACACAAACACACACACACACACACTCATACAAACGCACACAGGCACAGACACTCAAACACACAGATAGCCATGGACACACAGCACACATATAAACATAGACATAGGCTATACAATCCTTTGATACTAATACATATGTAGAAACACCAAAAAAAAATAATTGTATCACTACTTGGATCTAACACAAGAGGTAAGGTGGCCACTTCTGGAAGAAATTAAAGGTCCAAAAAACCAAACGACTTTCAGATGAAATTAATCACATCATCATGAAGATAGTTGAGAGCCTGGTCAACATTTAGTTTACAAAATAAAGACATGGAAAAACAGGAGAAAACCAATCCTAATTATCATGGTGAAGGTCCACTCAGATTTGATTTTAGCATGTAAAGAACTCCACGGCCTCAGAATTGGATAGCATGTCTACACACAGGAATTTTTTAAAATATATTTTTGGTTGTAAGCTTAGCCTTTAGTGGCTGATCCATGGCCCCAGCCCCACAGGGGCTTTCTTAAAAAAAGTTCAAGCATGGAACTATTAATGATACACAGAAAAGATGCACATTCTAGGTCCTCAAATATGACATCTGCAAGGATGAAGAAATAAGTTGCGCCACTATATCACACTGGGGATATTCTGTTGGACTATCATTATGGAGACAGCCTTTTTATGAGATTAGTATGACAATACAATTGTTTCTTGTTGAAGTACTCTGGGACTATCATATCCTTGGCACTTTCATAAATTAATAAATTTTGCCTTTCCCTAGTTTTTGTTGTTTTCTTTCCTATCAGTAGCAGTTAAAAATCTGAATCAAAAAAATTTTTTTGCCAAAATCCCTTCTAACTCTGTGTGGGGAAATGAGAAAGGAAATAGGGGATACATCTCTAAACTCTTAAAAATCAAGGCAAAGATTTGTGGTTTAGCTAAGGGTTTTGTAGTGAGTCATTCCTGATACAACTCAGTCACTGGAAACAATGAAGGATGGGTCCAGAAGGAAGCCTTAAGTATGGTGAGGCCTTCTGAGGAACAGATGCAGAAGTAGCTGTCTCTAAGACAAGCTACATTTAGAGGGCAAGGGAGGCTCGTTGCTATTCCACCCTTGCATCAGGGTGGACAGGAGGCTCCTTCAAATTTCACTATTCCCTTCTGGCAATAGGCATGGCCTGTTCTTGCTGGAAGAATCATCTTTGAAGGTAGCCATTTTGAAGTTGGGGACAGTCAGGAGGAAAATGGAAATCAAGCCAAAGAAGGAAGACACATTTTCAGGATGTTAAGTGTCTTAGTATTCTCATTAATTGAGTTTTGGTTGGCACATTGGTTTGGACCAGCTTAGGGAGAAGAGTGGGAGGGATGGAGGTTATTGAGATGCAACTTGTGATGACGGCTGTTGCGATAGCATCAAAGGCACTTTGGGCGCTGAGATGGTAAACTCAATGTTCTGTCTGACACATGGTAGTGATCGCTTTCTGAAAACTATGATACAAAATTGCTTAGCTATGATCTAGAGCAAGCCTTTTCCTGGTGGAACACAGAAGTTTGTTGTGCTGAGAAACTGGAGTGGAAAGATTTCAGGGAAAATGAACGTGAGATCTGCCACATGGCGGTTCCGCTGAGAGCAAGGGAAGAGGTGTCACTATGCCAACAGGGCAGCAGTAAGGATGCAGTCTCAGCCAACCTTTAATTCTCGTCTCTATCAGCATGGCATAAATCCTACAAGAAGGTATTATCTCTGTGCAATACCTGGTTTTCACTGAGGAGAACTTTGTTTTCTTTCTAATTTATACCAACCCATACATACAGGAAGGATAGCCATGCATGACCATTCAAACAACAGTACCTAAGGTTTTCCTTTGAATAAGTCCAAATCAGTTAAAACAGCAACAACAAAAACCAAAAACCACTACAGTAATCTGTTTCTAGTTTTCCTCATGAATAATAAAGCAGGAACTGTCTGTGGTATCTGTGTCATTCTGTAGATGTCTTCAAACCTATGAAAGGGAAAGGTTGCTGTGACCAAGAGACAATGCCATGGAGAGAAAGAGAGACTCCACGCATTCTTATAGCTAAGAAATAACGCTGAGAAGAATGGCAAAACAGATAGTGAGTGAAGCCATCAGTTTCTTCTGCATCTCCAAAAGCATCCATTCAGTGATGCCATTTACCTTGGCACACACACGGGGCTTGGTGGTGAATGTACTTCCATATGATTCTGGGTACCTAGGTGAATGTCAGGTGCCAGGAAAAAGCAGTTTTCAGCCAGAACTACCACATAAGCTGCAAAGAATGTTCTTCTAATGGCTTTTGTTTTTCAGACCTGAGTTGTCTTCTCCACTCTGGCCTCTACTGACCCTTCCTTGCTACGGAATTATTCCAGCCTCCACTGTTTGCTTGGAATGAATATAACATTAAAATGGAAACCTGGACTCTGTCCAATGTTAGCTTGTGCCAGCTGAAACTGTATCAACGGGAGAAAAACGATGCTGTAATTTTCTTGTCTGGCAAAATGTGGTAAGAAATCCATGCAGAAAATGCAGTAATATTCATTAAAATGAAGAATGTGCCACAATGAGTACTGATAGTTTGCTTTTAAAAGCCCTTGTTAAAACACCATTAGATGTTCAATAACCACCAAGCCGATGTACTGGAGTGGGGTGATGGTACACTGAACACTATTGTTTGCTTTGGGCTGCCAAGTATCTTCTTATGTTCACATTGTGTGACAACTAGAAAGGACAATTAAACAGCAGTAGAATCATTCATCTACTTTTGAAATGTTGATTAAATTTCATATTTAACTGCATAAAAAGAACCCATATTTGGATGCTTCACAGAATGAGTTATCACAATTTGAATCAAGAGCTCATAAAAAGAGGAGCGGATCCCCAATTTCCCAGATGAGATTCTGTAATTGTACATATGAAAGGAGAAGATTCATTAAAATTCATCGAAAACATATTCAAAAAATTTTTTACTTTCATGTGGAAATTTGCAATTAAAACTTACAAATGGTTTTTCATCAGTAAGTAGAATCAAAACAATGTACTAAGTTTCGGTGGCACACTTAAGAAACATATAAGCACTGAGCATACTTATAAAGCCATTGAAGGCTATCAACCAAGCAATTAGGTGGCCAACTCCGCTTTCAGATGCGAAGGATCTGAAGCTTTGCCACTTGCTGATGAGACAATGAGGGAGGCACTTGGTTTCCATTTGTAAAATGTGAACTGTCACCGTGATAACAATGCGTGTGCATTTAAGACACTGATAGGTCTACAGTGTGCAATAAATACCAGACGTGATTCTTAGAGTGATTCCAAGAATACAGTGGAAGACACAATGAAAGGTCAGAAAGGAACTGTGGAGGAAGAAGCAGCAGAAGTTAAAGGTTCCAGCGTTGGCTTCAGATGTGGTGCTCAGAAAAAGAATACATTTACATACTAATAAACGTGCGGGAAAACGTGAAGGATGTGGCACTGAGGCTTCCACCCTCATGGCAGCCAAATCCCTCCAATCACAATGTCCATAGGTGCACAGTTTTCAATGGCATGGGATAACACGAGGGACAGGAAGAGCTTGGGGACCTTAGGAATTTGTTTGTTGTTGTTGTTTTTGCACACAAGCAGGGAAATAACAAAATGCTTTTCTATAGGCAACTAGTAACTTCCTAGATGATTGCTCTCTGTGAAGTCTTCAAATGTTTCATGAGTGTAGGGCTGAACTTTTGAAGTTTCACTCTGGGAAAGGAGGGTAATCCCAAGGAGAAGATAATAAGATAATAAGCAGGCAAGATTTCAGTCTGTTTCTCCCTTTCCTATAAACTAGTAAATGAGACCACTAGTGGGTGAAACTACTTTATTTTTTCAATGTACAAGATTTACCTTCCGCTATTTATCATAGTTGGGTGTTAAAATAACAGCTATGTTTTCTATATAGAAATAACACTCAAAAATATATAGATTGATAGAGAAATGTAAGGCAAGCATCTTGCTGTAATTCTTGAAATAATGGAGATGAAAGGGAAGAAAATAATCAAAGAAATACTACAACAGAAGCAGAACACCCACTCTGAAGAGCATTAGTCCTGAATCTTGGATATATTCATTACTAGCTACTAACATCACATAAGGAGAGTCACCTAACTTTCACATGTTTCCAGACAACTATACCCATACTTCTTCAGAATTTTTGAAAAAAGAAAAAGCAAAGTGAAAAAAATGAAATAAGAGTTCACTTAATAACTATTCTTAATTTAATGAAAACAATACATGTTATCTTATTTCCACATACATTCTGGAGAAAAATATTACTTACTTTCCATCCCAAACATGGTCACCTCTGTGGAAAATCACTAGGTTATTCTTAGAATCCAGTGCCACCCCAGAAACCTGCCCTGGTAACAAGTATACTCCAGGCCAGTCCAGTGCCTCCTCCACATGGAAATCTAAAAGATAAATCCACACATGTATTCAGCATAAAACAGAGGCAAAAACCCAACATTGGCACAAAAACTCATGCAAAGACACTGAAAACAAAATCGAGCAGAAAATCCAACCCCATGCACATGCGAAGCAGCCTCTTGAGCTACGAGACAAAATGGCTGAACTTGTCTTGAGACCATCTGCTCTCATTTACCTGCCCAGACACCTGTAAACTCAGACAGTTCTTGAGCTATAAAAGAGCCTATTTGAAATCTCTCCTTCCTTGATAAGATTCCTAACTTTAAATTAATATCTTTGAAAACTTACGCCAACATTGGGGGTACTGTTTTGCTACACAATTCTGAAATGCAAATAAGTAGCAGGAATTAGCAAAAAAAATCCAATCCCTCAGTGTATCACTATCTCCTGTCTCTGTCTGTCTGTCTATCTATCTATTCATAGATTTTCTTTCTTATCATCTATCTATCTATCCATCTATCACCCCTCTGAGTAAAATTTGGATGATCAATAGACAGCAGTTCATAGGATAAGCGATTATTTATTATACCTGGAACTATGTAAGACAACATCATTTGTCTTAGCTTCAGTGTTCCTATAAAAATTGGAATTTTTCTGTCCTTGTACATATTTCCTTGTCTTCTAACATGACAAAAAGGCAACACTGACAACTCTGTTATTGACTGACAAATTATTCTGTTTCTGATACTACTATTTCTAGTCTGTATTCGGGAGAATCCAATCTTCAGAGAACACCTGAGTTCATGTGTGTTAACCCAAGTAATAAACCAGCTCATTAATAAACAGGTACTATGTACAGTGTTATCTATACTGATGATACATAACTATTAAGAGAACCTTGAAAGCTACTGGATCAAAGTCACACCCCCCCAAAATGCTTCAACAAGAGATTCTGAATTCTGAGAAATATCAGAGCACTCATCCAAGGTTCATTGCTTTTTGCCACTTTCTGAAGAATGTGGCAACATGTAGTCAAGCCCTCAAAAGGAGACACTAAAGACCGGCAAAAGAAAGCAAATTACAGGGGTTGTAAAACAGGCACTGGAATCCATGAGCCAATTCCAATGTAAGATTAGGCATTTTTACAATCTTCCCAATTATGGAAAAACACCTGTTCCGGTAACTCATTTTACCTCTCCATGCGCAGCTTTTTATATTACATAGCAAGAATGCTAATATCCAACAATGATTTTTAATAAAGCGGTTTCAACAAATAATCTTTACACCGAATTCTATGAACAAAAATTAAAACATGGTTCTCAGCCTTGATGAATATACAGATTGGGTAAGAATACAATGTAAGACAAGTTTATAAGCAAGGGAAAATAGGAACCAAATGCTTGGGACATACAAGAGTATAAGACAGAACTGGTCTCATAGTCCGTCCTGAGTCTTTGGCTGACATAGCACGGACTGACCATGTCTTCAGAAGATCTTCTAGAGTAGCAACAAAATGTGCATTTATGTCAAGTTAAGCATGGCTGAGTAGAAGCTGAAGGCATTCAGAAGTGGGAAGAGAATGCTTTTGTCAGAAAGAAGAAAAGCAAAGACTTCTGCAATTACAGTGTTTGCTTCCCAATGTTTAGAAACCTGAGTTAGGAATCGGATCCTAAACCGGGTGGTGCGGCAAGCAGGGCTACAGGAGAAGCCGACCATCAGATCTGATTTGAACTCAGAGAGGAAAATGTAGTATATATCACACAAAGAGCCTGGACCTAATCATGAGAGTGTTGTTTTGGTTTGCTATGCAGGGTCCTGACCTCTACTATAGTTAATTTCAGGGCAATTGATGCAAGCACTCTGTGAATAGTAGGGAAGCACAGAGTAGGGAAATAATTGTGTGAGGGATATACTGGAACACATGCCGATGCTGTTTTCTCTCGTGTGTGCTGTAACAGGCTTTCCTGGGTTACAGTGAAGTGGGGCATAGCCTTAGCTAGCACGCTTGAATCTGCAAACAACCCTGGGCACAGCAGCGGATGCTGTGGAGCTTTGGAATGAATAGCATCCATCATTCATCACTCTGGCTTGTCAAAATAGGAGAAAAGGCTGGAAACTGATGCTTCAGTGAATTGTGAGTCACTCACGGAAGGTTTTTAAGCATAAGGTGATGTGATTAAAATTGTGTCTTTGAAAGTTAGCTTTAGAAGTAAGGGCATAAACATGATAATTAGAGATGTCTCGGTTGATGAACAGGTGGGTAGATCATTCCTCAAAGCACATGTTTTAGAACAGTCTTGGGATGCTGAGTTTCAGGTGCATTTTGTTTTCATCTTACTTGTGTTTTTGGGCATTTAGTTGTCATTACTTTGGTGGTCAACTCCCGGAACTCACGGATGGGCTCTTAAGGGAATCTTAAGTATATACCAAAGTGCATATTTGATTGCTCTCATCAGATTCTTGGAGCCTAGAACCACTTCAAGTGCACATCTCTCATTTATTTTTGTCATGTCTCACGTCTGCTCCAGTCTCTAAAAGGACACATTTTCACTCTTATACCCTGGCAATGTATGTACTTAAAGTACTACTGGCAGTAATATAAGACTACTTAGTAAAAATATGATGTTACTAACTGCTTTCATTTAAGATAATAGACACATGTCCTTGTTCCTGCAGCTCTTAGCCTACCAACATGCAATGGTATTAAGTGCTCTTGAAGATGAAAGCATTAATGGTGACAAAAGCATCCAATGTGAAAATGCAAGTATTGTGTTGGTGTTGACTGCTAATTTCATAAAATATTGGAACTACTGTATAAATAACTTTAATCTGTCTGTGAATGACCCTAACATCATAGGACCTTACTTGGCTAAGTGGACAGTCTGCAAGGAGCGTTATGTACAAACTGGTTTGGGTCCAGCCCCACCAATTATAAAATCAAAATACTTGTCAATATGGTTAGAGATCTTTCAAAGCACAGAGGCAGTATAAATATCCAGAATGTATGTTTTGAAAGGTCCACTTTCGGGAATTCTCAATACAGCAGAGTTGGTATCTAAGGAAATTGACTTTAACACTATGAAGAACTTAGCTATTAGTAGCAAATGTTTGGGAAGCATTTTAATTCTATTCACAACAGCTTTGAGGTTGTTAAGACTA